TATGGATATGGAGAATACGGAGTTATAATCACTCAAGTGTTTTCCAGCTACAAACATCACCTTATGAGGACCTCAGTTCTTCTCTTTATTTTTCATGAAGGACCGTATAGAATCCGATTCATTACTGTCCACACGACATGAACTTTGTTCATTGTATTATTGTACCAGGGCCACTTCTATCTTTAGATTTTCTTTTTTATCATTACCAAAAGCTTCCTTTTCGTCATACTGGAAATATTCTAAAAAATATTAGAAAATCCAACCCAAAAACTTAAGTCTATAGATTGTGGTAGATTATATACATATAAAGAGCATATGAACCCCGTAAACAAGCGATGTGGGATGCTTTAATACCCTCTTTCGCGTGCAAGTCGGATTAGAAAAGACCTATGGAATCTTACGACCTAAAGGCTAAATATGCAAAAAATAAACTAGGGCAGAACTTGGCTCTGATATCATCTTAAGAAAACAATGCAGAAGCTAACGGATCTTGTAATTTAAGTCTAATGAGAAAAGAAGAAATTACCATAAAAATCAATGATGAACGATAAAGAATACACGAGATTTACATGATTCGGTTCGAGTGTTGTTACCTACTCCACTAGGAGAGCTAGCTGACAAAAAATACATTATGAATCCGAAGAATATAGAGTTATAAACGCTCAAGTGTCTTCTAGCTACAGAAGTATCATCTTATGAATTATTTGATTCCATCGATATGTAATGCTTCAGTTAATTTATCCATGACCGACGCACCTGGGTTCTTCTCTCTATTTTTCATGGGCAATGATTATATGGAATCCGATTCATCAGTGACCATACGACATGAATAATTTTGTTGTATTATTGCGTTAGGCCCATTTTTTATCTTTAGATTATTCCTCTTATCCTTACCAAAAGCTTCCTTTTCATGGACCTAGGTATATCCTAAAAATTATTAGCAAATCCAATCCAAAAGCTTGAGTCTTTAGATGGAGGGAGACCAAATGTATATAAAAAGTATATAAACCCTATAAACAAGCCACGTGAGATACTTTAACACCCCCTCTCACGTGTAAGCTGGATTAGAAATAACATGTGGAATATGACGAATGGGAGGTAAAACATGCAAAAATAAAATGGGGCAGAACTTGCTCTAATATCATGTTAAGAAAATAACGCGGAAGCTAACGGATCTTGCAATTCAAGTCTAATGCGAGAAGAAGAAATTACCTAAGAAATCAATGATGAAAGATAAATAAATAAAAATACTAGAGATTTACATGGTTCACTCCAAGTGTCAGTAATTACTCCACTAGGAGAGCCACCTGCCAAGATTTCCACTATGAACCCATAGACTACAGAGCAATAATCGCTCAAGTGTTTTCCAGCTTCAGACATCATCTAAAGAATTATTTGATTCTATAGCTTCCCTCGATATGTACAACTTCACTTAATTTATCCATGACCAAAGCACCTCAATTCTTCTCTCTATTTTTCATGGGCAGGACCATATAGAATCTGATTCATTGTCATTGTATCTTTGCGTTTGGGTCATTATTCATCTTTAGATTATTCCTCTTATCCTTATCAAAAGCATCCTTTTCGAGAACCTGGGTATATCCCAAATAAATATTAGAAAACCCAACTCAAAAGATTGAGATTGTAGATGGAAGGAGACCACGAGTAAATAAAAAATATATAAACCATGTAGACAAGCGATGTGGGATATTTTTAACACCCCCATCATATGCAAGCCGGATTAGAAACGACAAGTGGAACGGGAGGCCGCACATGCAAAAATAAACTGGGCAGAACCTGATTCTAATACTATGTTAAGAACATAATGTGGAAATTAACGAATCTTACAATTCAAGTCCAATGCAAGAAAAAGAAATTATTGGAGAAATTGACGATGAACGATAAAGAATATTATACCTTACCAAAAAAAAACCATAAAGAATATTATAGATTTAAGTGGTTCGGTCCGAGATTGGGAACCTACTCCACTAGGAGAGCCATCTGCCAAGAAATCCACTATGAATTCAAGGAATACAGAGTTATAATTGCTTAAGTGTTTTCTAACTCTAGATTACACCCAAAACAATAAATGATAAATAATACTAGAGATTTACGTAGTTTGGCTCGAGTGTTGATACCTACTCCACTGGGAGAGCCAGCTACCAAGAAATCCTCTATGGATATGGAGAATACGGAGTTATAATCACTCAAGTGTTTTCCAGCTACAAACATCACCTTATGAGGACCTCAGTTCTTCTCTTTATTTTTCATGAAGGACCGTATAGAATCCGATTCATTACTGTCCACACGACATGAACTTTGTTCGTTGTATTATTATACCAGGGCCACTTCTATCTTTAGATTTTCCTTTTTATCATTACCAAAAGCTTCCTTTTCGTCATACTGGAAATATTCTAAAAAATATTAGGAAATCCAACCCAAAAACTTAAGTCTATAGATTGTGGTAGATTATATACATATAAAGAGCATATGAACCCCATAAACAAGCGATGTGGGATGCTTTAATACCCTCTTTCGCGTGCAAGTCGGATTAGAAAAGACCTATGGAATCTTACGACCTAAAGGCTAAATATGCAAAAAATAAACTAGGGCAGAACTTGGCTCTGATATCATCTTAAGAAAACAATGCAGAAGCTAACGGATCTTGTAATTTAAGTCTAATGAGAAAAGAAGAAATTACCATAAAAATCAATGATGAACGATAAAGAATACACGAGATTTACATGATTCGGTTCGTGTGTTGTTACCTACTCCACTAGGAGAGCTAGCTGACAAAAAATACATTATGAATCCGGAGAATATAGAGTTATAAACGCTCAAGTGTCTTCTAGCTACAGAAGTATCATCTTATGAATTATTTGATTCCATCGATATGTAATGCTTCAGTTAATTTATCCATGACCGACGCACCTGGGTTCTTCTCTCTATTTTTCATGGGCAATGATTATATGGAATCCGATTCATCAGTGACCATACGACATAAATAATTTTGCTGTATTATTGTGTTAGGCCCATTTTTTATCTTTAGATTATTCCTCTTATCCTTACCAAAAGCTTCCTTTTCATGGACCTAGGTATATCCTAAAAATTATTAGCAAATCCAATCCAAAAGCTTGAGTCTTTAGATGGAGGGAGACCAAATGTATATAAAAAGTATATAAACCCTATAAACAAGCCACGTGAGATACTTTAACACCCCCTCTCACGTGTAAGCTGGATTAGAAATAACATGTGGAATATGACGAATGGGAGGTAAAACATGCAAAAATAAAATGGGGCAGAACTTGCTCTAATATCATGTTAAGAAAATAACGCGGAAGCTAACAGATCTTGCAATTCAAGTCTAATGCGAGAAGAAGAAATTACCTAAGAAATCAATGATGTAGATAAAAAAAAAAATACTAGAGATTTACATGGTTCACTCCAAGTGTCAGTACTTACTCCACTAGGAGAGCCACCTGCCAAGATTTCCACTATGAACCCATAGACTACAGAGCAATAATCGCTCAAGTGTTTTCCAGCTTCAGACATCATCTAAAGAATTATTTGATTCTATAGCTTCCCTCGATATGTACAACTTCACTTAATTTATCCATGACCAAAGCACCTCAATTCTTCTCTCTATTTTTCATGGGCAGGACCATATAGAATCTGATTCATTGTCATTGTATCTTTGCGTTTGGGTCATTATTCATCTTTAGATTATTCCTCTTATCCTTATCAAAAGCATCCTTTTCGAGAACCTGGGTATATCCCAAATAAATATTAGAAAATCCAACTCAAAAGATTGAGATTATAGATGGAAGGAGACCACGGGTAAATAAAAAATATATAAACCATGTAGACAAGCGATGTGGGATATTTTTAACACCCCCATCATATGCAAGCCGGATTAGAAACGACAAGTGGAACGGGAGGCCGCACATGCAAAAATAAACTGGGCAGAACCTGATTCTAATACTATGTTAAGAACATAATGTGGAAATTAACGAATCTTACAATTCAAGTCCAATGCAAGAAAAAGAAATTATTGGAGAAATTGACGATGAACGATAAAGAATATTATAGATTTAAGTGGTTCGGTCTGAGATTGGGAACCTACTCCACTAGGAGAGCCATTTGCCAAGAAATCCACTATGAATTCAGGGAATACAGAGTTATAATTGCTTAAGTGTTTTCTAACTCTGGATTACACCCAAAACAAAACCCATAAATATTATCTAACAATCTCTACGAGAAAACTCGCTCAGAAAACTCACAAACAAAAAACCCTAACATTCCTCTTATTTGCTCTAACGTTTAATAACCAAGTCAAATTACATCTTTTATAAATATATAATATATATTATTTGTATCCAAAATAAGATAAAACCACTGAAATTAGGAAACTTACTTGGATCGGTTCCTTTATGAGCTCAAACTTGAGATATATTTTTAATAAAAAATATTAAAATAATGCTCGGAAAAAGTGACAACTCTGCTTCGAGAGCTTCTATGGTATGGCCGTTTGGCGACTGCTTCTCAAAGAATAGTGATGCGATGGGGTTCGTAACGACGGCCATTTTGTTGCTATGGGAAAATTGCCAAAACAGGCTTTGCATGCAAAGCATTTTGTAATTCGTGATATTCTACACTCATATATCCCGTTTTAAGGTGGGATTGCTTGTGATCATAAGGGAAAGAATTGAACTTAGCTTTTATACAATTGAATTTCGTTTCAAGCGCTTACCATGTCACATCACTTTCTATCGGAATATCGTGCATCAATTACGACAGAGTAATACTCGGGAAACAATCTGACCATAGGAGAGTCCCTTGTCTTTTTGGATACCCTGTCGTGATCCGAGAAAAGTAAAATTGACTAACCAAAGGCCTAAGCATTTCTATAAATAGGTTCTTTTGTACAGTCTAGTTACAACATACACTTTCTCTACGTAGTTTCTTAACCTTGTTTATTTCCAAGAGCAAAAGGAGAGAATATGGCGCAATTGGTGAAGGCCGAGAATCGATCGAAGGATCAATTGGTTTGGGTAGTGGAGTTACAATCATCAGCTGAGAAGGTATATGATTTCTACAAGAAGAAATGCTATGAATTCCCAAAAATCATGCCTCTGGTGCTTCTGAAAGTAGAATTGGTCAGCGGTGAACGGAACTGTGTGGGCTCGGTAAGGCGGTGGACTTTTGTTGATGGTAGGTTAAAAAATTTGTCACTTAATCTAGCCACTTTGATTTCCATATCCCATGTCATATCTATCTCTTCTTTCTTTCTCAATTAATTAGTTGTCTCGCTGTATTATTAATCAGCAAAAACGATAATTTTTTCCTTATTCTTCTGTTTTGTGATTTACAGTTCGATCCAAAAACAATGCGATTGTCGTTGTTAATTCATCATCATGAGTACAAGAACTAAAGCTAACATATAACGTCAGTGTCGCTTGAATCTTTCAGCTCGTGGAAGATCTTGACATTTCATTACTATTCCATGAGCTTTTGTTTGGGGACCTTAGGACAAAGCTTCGATTAATGATCACTATATGCACAGTCTTTACTGGTTTCTATGTTGAGGTGCTGAGAGGACACGCATGTATTAAGCTTGTGGTAAATATTTCATGCCTGAGCATAATGTGAAGTCCAACTGAACTGGAGTCATATGTTAATTTAAGGATTAGTAAGTATTGATGATTTTTCACCACCTTTAAATGGGACTTGGCACATGCCATTTCTAAAGTACTTTTTCTTACTTGATCTATTCAAGTAAACCTAGCAAAGACACATGTGCGTTGCATGTGAGGAATGTCGTGAATTCAAAGGTTTGAAATGTGTACTTCATTTTTAGAAGAAAAAGGAACTTCTTTGTATCAAAATTTTATTCTCTGTGTATGGACGATGGACAAAGAGTCTTAGATCTTTCTCTTTCTTTATCTTTTCTTTTTCTTTTCTAGCTTTGTGCTTAAAGATTGAAAGGAACCAATGAATTAAAGTCCTGAATTGAGTTTCCAGTTGAAAAGAGTAAAATTGGAAATTTTTTAACAAACCTGAGATAGGAAAGTTGTAAGTCATGGATAACTAGATTGCCCAAAGACGGTGTTAGGAAATATTAACACATTCTTAATAAAGTTGAAGGCTAATTTGGTGAATTAACTTAAATGGGTGTGTTTTAGCCACACAAAAAAAGATGTGAAAATAGCACCACCCATACCTACTACAAATTTATATAGTGTTTTAGAAGATTAATAATTAAACTTAAGCACCTTTCAAACAAAACTATTATAAATGGTTTAAGATGAACCTTTCGACCAGCTCCAAGACCGAAAGCGGCAATATAATTCACGAGCAATGAAACTCTCTAGTTTTATTATTAGAAACCCTAAACAAAATATTGCTCACTGAGATTTTTTTCAAAAAAAAAAAAAACATACCACAGATAAATGCGGAAGCTTGAAGGACACTGTGGAAGCCATTAACGACGAGGAGAAGTCCATCACATGGGCTTTGTTGGACGGAGAAGTGCTGAAGAAACTCTACAAGAGCCTGAAGGTGGAGTACCAGTTCACTGCCAAGGACAAAGGCTGCACGGCGACAGTGACTCTGACTTTCGAGAAGAAAGGCGACGGTTTTCCCGAACCCGCTAAATGTGGGGAAGTCATCAAGTCGATGTTACTGGCAGTCGACGCCTACCTTCTCACGCATTGAAAATATACTACGTGTGGTTAAGTAGTCAATAACATGCTTTGGGAGCATGGAAAAAGGATGCTTATTTGCCTACTAAGTGTGTAATCATCCACCAATGCAGTGTTGTACTCCTAATTAGATAATATAATATAAGTAGTGCTTTGTGTGTCTAAGTTCAGCCAGTTGTGTTTGCTGAAAAATTTATTGCACGTGGTATAATAATTCCATATATTTCGTGGCCTGAAATTTGCTTTCTAATGCGTGAAAGAACAGAAACCATAGACAGACCAAAACGTTCAAAACGAGTGATGCAAACTTACCATACAATATAAAGTAAAAGAGATGCATACAATATAAATATAGTGAAGGAAGGTTATAATAGTCGAGTTACGAAATCTTGAGTGAAAATCAGGCGCATGACACAAGCTCAACTCCACAAATCACCAAGATCAAATAAGACGTTCACATCATTTGGATGGTCCACCTAGATTTCAACTCGCATTTTACAAGATCCTTGAGATTAGTGAGGCTTTTCATGAAATTTGAACTCTAGCCCTACACAAGGCTGGCCTATTATCGTTAGTTTGGGCTAAAGCTTGGGCACAAATATTTTTAGCCTGCCAGGGCCAAATCAACACTAGTGAGCTTTGGGGGTCTCCTTTACGGGGCAAGCATGATGCACCCAATGCACATTTCTAGGGTTTTTCTTTCTTATTTTTTTGTGATAGGCAAGTATGGACAACATCTTTCTAGACCCAAAGTCAGGCTCGGACCTATGATCCTGGATTTTATGCAAGGAGCCCGGCCCGAACCTGTCTCGCTCAGCTCATTGATCATCTCTAGCCAGTCACAATACATCAAGAGAAGTCGCAGATTTTATACGTATTGTATGACCAAAACGATTAATTCTTGCAGATGCTGATTTGGGCGGATTCAACAGTTTCCAGTTTTCTCTTTGATTGCTCCCAGAATTTGACACATTAAAAAGGATGGTGGTGTGACTGATTAACGAGGATCTTTGAAATGCAGGTACAGCAGCCCCGGCCAATGTTGGGTAGCCAAGGAACAAAGCCGTGAATTGACATGTTCAAGAAAGATTAAGTTAGGGCTTTCCCCAGATGTAGATCATGGCATTGATTCACGCCCTTCATGTAATTGCGCCCTCTTCAGCATAATCGCTAGGTAAATCCATTGCGATCATTGTGACTGGTGTTACTTTTAAGATTTGCTTTCTTTGAAGTCGTTAAGTGAAACCGGAGGTGTCGGACATATAAAAGACAACATAGGTGCGACAAGCTGGTAAATGCTCTCCGCCTGAGAAAATCACATCATAATACATGGCACACCATATGGTAAACATTTGTCACCTAAGAAATCCATCTTAAAATGCACCGCGACTCGCCACTGAATGGAATCCACCAATGAAACTCCAATCCAAGACTTCAATTCCAGAAAATCATTGAAACTATCATTTTTTTCTCGGGAAAATGTTGATAGGGGTTTATATAGACAACTTGGAACAGCCCGCTAGGTTAGGCAAATTCCAAGACACTAACATTTCAATTTGCAAGATAAAAGACCAACAACCCATGGACAAAACATAAATAAGAACATTGACTCTGGACTCAAATGATCTAGAAACTAAATGCAATGCACGTGACTCAACAAATAAAATACTAAGATAAATCATTCTCGGATTCCATGAGTAGCATTAACTATTTTGGCAAATTTTTTGGGGAATCTCTAACTTTGCTTGAAACTTGATTCATTGAAAACTAGATACATAGGGCTTTCCAACTACTATAATATTTGACCATATTGAAATACGAAAAGTCTCTCAAACATCACATGAAAGTAATCCAGACAGTTTAGCCAGTAGAGATACAATTAACCGAGCTCCAAATAATTTTGCATTGACTATTAGATAAGCCTTAATCTTCTCGAGATGATCCTTCGTCATTAAACTTCAATTACCGAAATCTTAAGCCTATGAATTGTCAGGCAAATTTCTTCTGGTGTTTTAGATCCATATGTAAAGAGTATCTCCATGTATCAATGTACTTGGGCGGATTCAGATGGGAGCTGGAGGGGTCTCCGGCCCTTCCAATTTTCTCAAATTATGTTTAGGCCCCAATTTCTCAAAAACATTCACATGTTCATCCATAAATCTTGGCCCCATCAAATTATCTAATCTCTTCACATTTCAAAAATTAAGGAAGTATTTACTAGGAATTTTTAACAAAAAGTCCTTTCAAATTTAAGAGTTATATTTTACAAAAATGATGCATTTAACTGTGAAATACGAGGAACGACGAGTAATAATTTCCAGACTTGAGAAATAATGCTTTAGCATAGTTGGAACGATTGAACTTTGCTATTAGGTCTATCTCCATTTGTAACATTAACTACCAATTGATAACTTTCACACTATTGACATAATATGAGAGGTTCTTTACGACAGAATTCCAATGTCTCAATAATCCTAGAAAGTCAAAAACTAGTGATGTAGGGTAAAATGTCAAGAGCTATTGTCCTAATTTACTATACATATCTGTTCATGGATTATGTTGGTAAAATCTGCAAATTTGGCTCTTGCGAACATTACACAGCTTTAAAAGAAGACATTTAACATGGAGTAATTTATAAGGCACATGAATGTGTGCGCCTCAAGCAAGTATCGCTTAAACTTAAACTCTACGTTTCCGTTCCAACCGGCCAGTTTTCATACGGTTCATATATTGCGGTTGATTTTCTCTCCACCGCATGATCTACAAGCGAAGGTTGCCCATTTTGAATTGGACAGTTTCCTTTGGCTAAAATTAAGATAAGATCGTTGTAATATTAACACGGAAAATATTGGATCTTGCAATAAAATCAACAAAAAATCACAAGAGTAATAAATGATGAACAATATCAACATTTGAGATTTACGTGATTCAAGCCAAGTGTTAGTACCTATTCCACGGGAAGAGTCAGCGACAAATAATGCACTAATAATCGGAGAATCAGAATTACGATCGTTCACACGCTTGAATGTTTCTCACTTAAATTAAGCCCAAACACACATTATTTATAAATAAATAATTCAATTTGAATGTAAAGCTCACGGCACATCAGTACTCCTATTGTGTGGCTTGAAAAACTGTAACAAAACTTCCAATAATACTCTGGCCAGCAACAACAAGCGTCCCAATCAATGTAATGTGCGGCCAACATTCTTTTTTTATTTTAAACGTCCACTGTACAGTTTTAGTAAGAAGTACAAGTCTTGATCAAACATTGGATAATTACGGAAAAACCAACGCCCGAAGGAAATCCGAAATCCACCTACTTATTAAAGAAAAAGAATAAATATATTGAAATTCCTACAACTTGGCACGAAAATGCAATTGAGTTCTAAATTTTCAAAAAGTACAATCAAGTTCTCAAACTTATCGCGAAAGTGCAATTAAGTCCTAAAACTTTCAAAAAGTGTAATCAAGTCTTAAAATTTATCACGAAAGTTCAATTGAGTCCTAAAACTTTTAAAGATGGCATTTTTGACGAGTTTTAAGACTTAATTGCACTCTTCGTAAGTTTTAGGACTCAATTGCACTTTCATGACAAGTTTTAAGACTTAATTCCACTTTTTGAAAGTTTTATGACTCAATTGCACTTTCGTGCCAAGTTTTAAGATTTTCAATACACTTATCCTAAAAAAAAAGGGCACTATCAATCAGGATTTTGTTAAAGATTTGGTTTAACGAACCAATCTATATCTTCCAAGCAGGATGGACTTTCTATAAACCACTCGAATTCGAAACATGATTTAGGGCCCGTTTGTTTCGCGAAAAATATTTTCCGAGAAAACACTTTCTTCATTTTTCGGTGTTTGGTTTGCTTAGGAAAATGAGTCAACGGAAAATATTTTCCTAGTCAATGGAAAAGGTTTTCTTACCAAAACTTAAATTCAGGAAAATGATTTCTTCTTTAAAAGAACTGGAAAACATTTTCCGAAATATAACTATCTATCGAAGCTTGGACCTGAAACTCTATACTTAGACATGAAAACTCCAACATTGGTTCCCGAGTCTCGACATTTAGGACCAAGTCTTGGTGGTCGAGCTTGAGACCTCGGTGTCCAGGGCCCGGGCCCCCAGCACCCACACCTGGGTCCATCGAGGCTGAGCTCGAACCCCTGGTGCCCATACCCCATGGTCCGGCACCCGAACTCAGGTCCATAAAGGCCATGCTCAGGTCCCCGATACTCGATCTCTAGTCCCGACCCTCTGGCCCAAATCCATAAAGGCCTCGCGTAGGTCCTCAGCACTCGAGCTCGGGTCCTTAGTTAATGAATTGATTGTTTTTATAAAAATATTTAATTAAAAAAATCGAATATTTATTAATTTTAAAAAAATCATTTATTTTTTTAAAAAAATAGAATTATTTATTATTTATTCTTTTCCTTTCTTTTCTTTCTTTTTCTTTTCTTCCTTTTTCTTTTTCTTCTTCCTCAGGCTGATCGCCGGCGACGACGACAGTCGATGAGCTCGCGGCGGCCTCTGGAGGCGAGCTCGCAACAACCTCTGGCGGCGAGCCTCGAGCTTGCCCAAGGCCGGTGAGCTCGCGGCCTCTGGCGGCGATCCTCGAGCTCGCCCAAGGCCGGCGACCTTGCAGCTCGTTGAATCCAGGCAAGCCCGAGCTCGAATGAGGCCGTCCAGCTCGGGGCTTGCCCGATCCAGGCGACCTCGGGCTCAGCCAAGGCCGAGTTGCCCTATCTAGGCGAGCCTGGGCTCAGCCGAGGTTGGCGAGCTCGAGCTCGCTTGTAGCTGTTGCCGACCAGTCCCAGCAGAGGAAAAAGAAAAGGACAGAAAAGAGAAAAAATAAAACTAAAAAATAAAAAAAAATTCAATTTTTTCAGAAAAATAAAAGAAAAAATAAAAAGAGAAATAAAAACAATTAAAAATTCGAGTTTTTAAAAAAATATTAAAAAATGCTATTTTTTTTGCCTGGAATAAAATCATGAAATTGAAATTATTTTA